AAAAAAAAAAAAATCGAGACGAAAACTTTGAAAAGAGAACAATAAATTGATAGAAAATAAAGTGGAGAAAGCAGTTGTGTAAAAACTGACACAAAAAAAGACGTGCCCTTTAATAACTTACAAATAAAAAAATAATAAAACCAACCAATAAAAATAAATGGTTACCAAAATTTTATTTATTAAAAATTTGAAAAAGGGGTAAATATGAAAAGAAAAATGAGTAATACAGTTTAAATAGTGAACAAAGGCTGTTTTGCAAAATGTTTAATTATACAGTCAAGGGGCGTCAATTTTTCGTCGGGTAGTCATATATACTTGGATCTTAACAAATGGACTAGACTCAATGTGGCCCATTTTGAAAATTGAGCTGGTCCGATCCGTCCAAATTCGAACGTCAGGTGAGACGGACCCGGGTTAAATTCTCACCCTTTAGAGTCAACTTTTGATTGAACCCATAGTTTACATCAATAATGTTCACCTATCCACGGTGAGCACATCTTAATATGTCCACTGTTTATGTGGCATGCACACATTGGTAATGTATTTTTTTGAACATATTAACATCACTAATGTGTGCATGCCAAATAAGCGGTGGACATATTAAGAGGTGTCCATCGTGCGTAGAGGAGTATTACTCTAGTTTACATACATGTCTGGTCGGTCCAGTGTTAAAGTAAAAATCGGGTGAAAGAAAAAGAAATAATTGTTAAAGGGCGATTGTTTATAGTTTCAATAGTAAAAAAAAAAAAAACAATTAAAACTCAAATTTAACTCAACTTTAACTCAACCCCACTGTCTCTCATATTATTAATATAATTAAATAATATCAACCAATTATTTTTACACATCACATCAACTTTAATTCACTATTCATCCACTAACATAATTTTAACTAACTATCAATTTCAATCATTTTTCTTCTACTTTACATCAAATCAACTTTAATTATTTTATTTAAATATTATTTTAATACATCCACTAACAACTAACCATACTACTTTTTTCAAAATCAACTATAGTTAAAAATCAAACAAAATAAAAACTAGTTGAATCCACAAACAATCACACCCTAAACAGTTAAACAGTTGTGTACTTTAGCCTCAAATCCATCCCAAACAAGATTGGGAAAATTACATGTATAGGCCCCCTTGTAGAAATATTTACATATATACAAATTGTGTAAACATTAATCAAAAGTGGATTATGATGTGTTTTTTATTTCATCTATACGAGATAACTATCTTTATCACCTGGTATGTCTCTCTCTCTCCATAAAAATTTGATTCTCTCCAAATAAAGAGAACTCCCCATAAAATCAGATTCTCTTTCCAAATAAATATCATGCAATTAATTTGTGTGGAACGGACAGAATCACAGTGATTTTTTTATTTTTTTTTTAAAATATCATACCAAATATGATTTCATCAATCTGGCTGAGGAAAAAAATATAATTGAAGGAGCTGCTAAAAGAAAAATTCATCGATCTTCGTGAAATCTCCTTTGATGAAAAAATTCAGATGCACTATATATACTGCATAATAACCACCAAATATATGTTCAGATATATTGTATATATACATTAGATAAACATGATATGACAGTTATCTAATATTAACCGTATAGTTATACATAAGATAAGCAACATATAAACAATTCTGAAACGGGTTTACACATAATACACAATTTTGAATGACCACAAAATTCAAATCGAATGTAACTATACATAAGATAAACAACATATAAACAATTCTTAAACGAGATTGATTGACCTCACCACTCCCAACGTCACCCCTTCATCTCCTCAACGAACCATGGTGCATCTTCGACGTTGCACGAGTGAATCATAGCATTGCTCAAAGCCGATGGACGGATTGATTGATTTTAGTTCCTATTTCATATTTGAATTGAGAAATGAACCATAACAACTAAAGAGATGAGAGTTGGATCGCCGAGAGCCACCAGAACCGGTGATTTTCGATCCCACCTTCGTTACCCGTCATACAAACCTCCAAGCTTGACTCTTTCCTGGTGATGACCTTCTCAGCCGCCCCATCCAAAGAGTTATGGGGGTAGGTGGTCTACGAATTGAGAAAAAAATCCGAAAAAGAAAAAAAGGAAAAAAATTGAGGAAATTAGGAGATATTTGGCCGCCGATTTTGTCTTGCCCTTGTGCAAGCCATTCGTGCCTTGCTCTCACGGACTTGGGAGGTTAAAGTCCAACACGTTCATAGAGAAGCAAATTTCGCTGCTGACCACATGGCGAGCTTGGCGGTATCATATCCACCTGGTCTACATCGAGTTGTGTCCATGCCTACAGGAATCGGAGAGTGGTTACAGCATGACAACATAGGGGTGGCTTATCCCCGACAGACTTTAGCTTAGGCTTGTGGCCTACCTTCATTGTACC